TGGGGAAATTGCGGGGTCCAGTCCGTCCCATTCGAAATCTTGTCTTTGCATAAAGTCCCCAAGGGCTAAAGGCAAGTGTCCACTGCTTTTCCAAGTGGAAATGCGTTATCCGCCCACGAGATTGGGTGAAAGTTTCTCTCTCGTGGGGCACACACCCCAAAGCCACAGAAACAGAAGTAGCCGACAATACCCCTTGGTTATTCTCAAAATTGCTTAGGAGCCATAGGCCAAAGCTAAAACAACGCCGCAGACGGAAAGGGACGTGAAGATAATCTCAAGAAAGATGGCCTGTCGTCTACAAATACAATGGTTCCGCCCATGGAATTCTCTGCTGCCTTTCAGCCTTTGAGTGATTAAGATCTGCTTGAAAACTTTACGTGTTGCAAACAGTCATGAACTCCTGATCCTTGCTTTTTTGCTCATGTTTATCTTAACTACAGATAAGCAGCTCTTGGTAGTTCAATTTCCTTCACTTCTCTCGCCTGAATAATTTGACTTTGTAATCGCTTTTCATGTTTGTTTGTGTACGCACACATTCTTGATAAAACAAATAATCAATCCTGTTAATTAACTGAGTTTGAGTTTCCCAATAATGCCTAAAACTTTTGATTTCCCAAATTAGTTAGTACTAAGCTTTATCCAAGGAAACCACCCAAATTTCGTGCTATAATTATTCCAATAATCTTGAGAATTCACACCCTTAATTTTATCATTTGTTTCTTAAAAAAAAAAAGGAGAATTCACTTCATCTGTAACTCTTTCATATGCTCTTATTTAATTATTGGTGGTTCATTGTTGGGTGTATTGAGTTTCCCTCTGGATATGGCCCACGCAATTGTAACAACCGACCATGACACATATGATTACTAACTCAAACCCTTATAAAAGACGGATGCATGCTTGATCTCAACTTATTAAATTGTAGATGAAGGTATGGGCAATATTATAAATTGGTTGTCTTAATACCCCTAATAATTAATTATTCACATTAATAAAAATTAATTAAAAATTCAAATTCAACTTATTAATGTAAGTTCTTTTGTCTCAATTCAAACAAAAAAAAAAAAGATAAAATTGTATATAAGTATTACGTAACAAGATAAAAAAAAAGAATTTTCATAAAAAGACTGATATTCGTTATCACCTCCAAATTTCCAATATAAAGAAGTTGATAAAACTTTAATTTAACCGTGTTTCTATCCAATCATGTCTAAAGATCATTGTGTGAATTATTAGCTTTGTATATAGCGTGACGTATCGGTTAATTAAGAGATAAGTGGCTGGCCAATCAATTGTACAGTATTTGCCAAAACTTCAAATCAAATAGACTTGGTCTGAGAGTGGTCATGATGTTTGTACAATTCCATACTCGCTTTTTCCCAATTTGTTTTCTGAGTTTTTACTGTTTGGAGAATGATCTCGGTATGGATGCAAAATGTCCGAATTTTTGGCACAAAACTGGTGCGGGTGTATATACAAGTTTGACTCGGGGATCTAGGTAGATGGATGGTCGTGAATCCATTCAAAGTCTATTTTGAGCAATTTCTCATCATTATGACTTAAAAAATTTTCAGTAGTAACAGCCTTTTTTACCTTATGAAGCGTCCGAAAGGACGCATAATTTGAGTGGAAGAGCCACTAGGTATTGTCGGCTACTCAATTGCAATTCAATGCTTTGTTCAATTTTCAATGTGAGAATAGCAACACATTTTATTTCAAGTCTAATCTTGTAGTTGCAGCACCTAATACTACAAAAGTTTCAGACCCATAGTCACTGTGAAAGAATCAAGATTTCGTATCTAAAAGATAAATAAAAAATGAATTGACAGTAAAACAATGAAATTTAAAAAATAATTATGTTACAATAAATTTTATTTAATTTCTAAATTCATTAAAATTAATTATTAATTAATTACTGTTAAACATCTCATCAAACAAAAAGATTATAATAAATACAAACTTCTAAAATTTTAAAAAATATAAAACTATATTATGAAATTTTAAATTTTTTTTTTTGAAATGGGGCAAGGACCCTTACTAGCCTCCCATTCTCTCTGTTAGTACAAGGCCAGATTCCTAATCTACCACACTTGATTTAAAAGTGTTATTTTAGATAGTAATGCAATTCTTCATTTGTTTGCTTGTGATCCCTTTACAAATTTTGTAGTGGTAATGAGAAACAATGATCTAAATCAGTTCAATTCACTCAAGATCTTCAAAGACAATGATAACTCAAGATTATAACTCCCACGGTAATACTAATGGTTAGGATTACAAGCCCTCAAGGATCAAGTTGATACTAATCACAAGCTTTACACGAAGAGGTAGCGTATGAAGATTTTCAAATTATCCTCAAATAATTCAAGCGTCCAATGAAGATTTTGTTTTCAAGGAATTAATTATTTGTCTTTGATCACTTTGTTATGTATTTAATATTGAATTACGGAACATGTGACTAAATATGAACAGTCAGCAAACTTTAGCTAATAAAACGTATTAGCTAATAACAATATATAAACTTTTATATTATGAGCATGTTTGGCCTGATTCTTTTTAGTTTAAAATCTATTATCAAGCTTTTATGAAAAATAATAACTTTTAAAATTAGGTTTAAATTATTTGTTAAATTTACTTTTTATAAGTTTTTTTTATAGAAAAACTATTTAGCAAAACGACTTATATAAACTTTAATTTTGATTAAAATTACTATAAAAGGTATTTAATAAATCAAGAGAAAAAATTTGAATCAAATAAAAAAAGATGAATGTGAAAAAAATATTATTATTTTTATAATATTATGAATTGCTGAAAGATAAAAGAATAATATAAAAAAATATTTGTTGTCATTTTTTAAAGATTAATTTGAAATTTATGACTTTTGGAGTTAAATAAAATAAACATTACATATAAGGAAGAAAACTCAATGTGGTATTAATAATGAATCCAATTGGGTTAGAAAAATCACGTTTAGTCCATTTATTTGACAACCTATTTTCCTATTGGAATCATCAACACTTATTCCATGCATCTACCAAGGTCTTGATGCCTTCACTACTAAAGTTTCTTTTCATGAATAAAAAGGTTTTAGCTTATATATATATATATATATATTATTTTTTAATGAGTTATTTATTTTGTTAAAAAATACAACATAGGGATTCTGCAATTCCTGTTACTAAAGGAATTAAAGTCTATTTCAATTTTTTTGCAGTGTATCCTATTGTTATATCTAAAAAAAATTCTTTAAAACTAAATGACTACAAACAAGTGCAAATATTGACTTTTTAATTTTTATTTAATTTATCTCAATAATTATTGACATAGTTGACTAATTATTTCAATTATAATCAACAAATATTATATATACCAGAAAGAAGTTAAGAACAAATAAATATCACATAATTGTCATATCAAACAATAAATTGACTAATATCAAACAATAAAGAGAGTTTTCAAAAAAATGATAAAAAATAAAATAAAATAAAAAATATTTGAATATAATTTTAAATTTTAAATTTTTTTCTTAATTTTTGTAAAAATAACAAAAGTCGATGATTTACAAAAAAAGGAAAGAGAAGAGGGAGATCGATAGGGAGATGAGAGGTAATGTTTGAG